TTAGACTCAGAGCAGTCTAGATGGTAACCAGAACATACAGTACCAATGCAATGTACTGTAGTCTTCCCACCCTAATGCAGATCCCTAAGAAGGCTCACAAAGGTCCCTGCTACTGCCCATTAGTGACAAAAGAAATCCACCCTCGATCAAAACCAGACGGACAAATACCATCTTCTTTCACTAAGGCTTTAACTAAGATAATAAATTGTTAGTTACTTATAACCTGGACTGTTTTTCTTTCTAAATACAAGCAAAGTCTTACAATGGTTCAATTTTGTTTCTTATCATAATCGTCAGCTTTTAGAGCAGATTGAATTGGAATTGATTTTTTTTCCCCAAATGGATGCATGACTGTACAGTATATAAGGCTGCTCGCTAAATGATTACAAGATGACCGGGTACGCTACAGGTATTATGAAGCCACGCCTACCCGAGGGGCACAGCGGCCGCGAGATGAGCAGGGTAGAGGACGGGCCACGCAGGCAGGCAGCGCAGGGGATGTGCTGTACACACAGTCAATGGCCGAATACAGGGGGTGTTTCAGGCTGTGGTTAAGGTCCAGGCACAGAGTCAGGTCGGGTCTGGCAGATCCAAGCAGGATGCTGCTATAGCACAGACAGGAGGGATTGTGCGAGGGAGCACCAGACAACAGGACAGGGCTGAAGTATCTGGCACTAATAAGGAATTCACCCATTATCTGGGATCCGGCGGCACAGACGGCCACCCTGATCATGGTCTCAAGACACCGGAAGGCGTCCGAGTTTGTGTGCAAACGCGGACAGATGGAACCTGACCTCTCAACCCTCAAACTGATGATTCCTTTGGGTGAAATGTGTTAAATGCCAAAAAAAAAAAAAAATTATTATACAGTATATTCACCCCCACAGAGTCGATATCAGGTGGAAGCAGCTTTGGCAGAAATTAAAGCGACAAGGCCTTTTGGATAAGACTACCTACTTTGCATACTGGGATGGGGCAAATTTCTCCTACTTTTCTTCACAAATTTGTTTAAGCTCTGTCAAGAGTGTTGGGGATTGTTGACAGCAATTTTCATGTCTACCTGACTGACGGACCTTACAGATTTTTTTTTTCTTTTTACAAAAAATACTTTATTTCCATAACTACATCTAAAAAAAAAAAAGTAACATTCTCACAAAAGGTAAACATTGCATGCAATAAAACTTTTCAAACAGCGGTTATTGTCCCTTATCAATCTGTGCAAATGGATGACAGGGCCGGATCTGAGCAATTAAAGAGTCCCTTCAACCCCTACCACTTGTTTTTCTCCATTAGTCCCTGTACAGGGCACAAAGTCCTTTCCAGTGCTCCCTCACCGTAGGGAAACCCCCATTTGGCAACGTCACGCTTCATCCTCCTTCTGAGGTTCGTAAGGATCCTCTCCTCCAGCTCCCTTGCTCCCCACTCTGTGTTGTGCCAGACAAGAGTGTTCCTCACATTCCATAGTCCTTTTAGGGACACCAGCAGCCACAGCAGGACCTGCGTCCCCTTTTCCAATCTGGTTGGTGCTAGCCCCAGCAGAATGTACTGGTAACTGAGCACCACTCCCGCTCCCAGGAGTTGCATAATGTTGTCCATTCTGCCCCACACCACTTTGGCAAAGGGGCAGCTCCAGAACACATGCTCCCAAGTCTCCTTGATGAAACATGTGTCCCAGGGGCAATGCAATAGAGCTTACAGATACAGATATTGTGATGCCACAGGGATAGTGGCAGGTCTTCTTTTTCATTTCTATAAAAAAAAAAAAAAAAAAATCAGACATGCTCTTCTAACAGTACCCCCACCAGCAGTGCCCCCCACTGACTGCTGTATTGCCTCAGTCTGCATGTTAGCAGGAGACCTGATCTTCCATACTCTTCCTGTTCTGCAGCTAACACAGGACAGACTTCTTACTTACTTAGTCTCTGAGGGGAAGTACTGCTCTTAAGGCTCACTCCCAGCTGTATGTCATGATTACTCCAAATCAACTCATCTGTGGTTACTTAGGTAACGCATCTCTTCTTAATGAGGCTCTGCCTCTTAAAGGCACCACACCCAGAATGTCATTACAGTGTTTTTATTCTGAAATGATGTGAATCACTATTATCACACACAGCCTAAGGCTACATGTATGTAATTGTTTGAAAGAACACTTTCATACCTGAGCTAACTGTGTTAATAAAATTGGTCTAAACTAAAATTAATTCTGTACAAAATGTATCTGGTCCCATAATTTAAGTCTGTATACTGTCTGATAAAATGTTATCTTAATCAACTGAAGTGTTCCATAATCGACTGAAAATGGGCTTCTAATTGTAATTCACAGCTAACAATGTTACTAAGCTCTTTCTTGTTCAACCTGTAAAACTTCCAGTGTAACACCTACTGTATTTTGGTTAATGTTTTTGTCCTATTTATACAGCACTCATTGTCATAAATAGAGCCCTACTTTGTATGTGCAAATAATGTATTTTGTGCATAAGTATATGACCTTAAAGGCTGTACTTGTTCATATATGGTACAAATTCATCCAAATGAAAAAAATTACTGCAATAATGATAACTATTCTCACTATTCTTGTAAATACACTTCTTATTAGGTGAGGATAATATTTTTCATTTGTTTGTTCAACCTATTATTTTCCGTCTCAGAGAGATGAGCACTGAAGACAGGGCAGTTGACTTAAGGCAATCAGGTCTCTTTAAAGTGTCATTGACAAACTACAGTAGCTGAAATGTTTTGCTGGGCAAACTGTATCAGCTCAGGTCCTGCCTTTATGATGGGGCAAAGGAATTTTAGTATGAAGTCTAAAACATGAAGAAAGTAGTGAATCTGATATTTTGCTAGCTCATGCTAAGCGATCAGAATCAGAAGATCACAGAATTAGTATAGCAATACATACCTGTAATTTAACTTTACACCTTCAACCAAAGACATTGGAGAACATATACCAAAGCTCTTACAAAGATACAGAAGATTGATGGAGTGCAATGTGAAACAGCAGTTATCTGCCTCTGACTTGCACAGCTTTAAGGATTTTACTACTAACAGATAGAACTGCTCCATTTGAGATGTTCAGGCAGGGAAAGAGTGCAGTGTAGCCCACATAGCCACACCAAAAATGTAAGGCAGCTCTGAAGACAGCCCACGACACTATCACATCTTTTACCCTTGGAAAACTAGGTAGGTGGAAGATGGGCCATATTGATGCATATACTGTACATCCCCCTCCCCCCACCAACAGTTTAGCGGGGCAGAGTACACACACCAACAGATCTCTGTAGTCAGTTGAAGATCGAGGTTAAAGGTAAAATGACACGCAAGCCGTGGTAAATTACCTAATTATTCTCAAAGTGTTATGGCTGGGCATTTAAGGTTTGTGTTTTGGATCTAAGATTCAAGTCTCGACCATTTAATTTGTCTCGTATTGCCTTTACATTAGTGAGCAGAAAGTGAGAACCGTGTTTCCTCCTATGGCGTAAATATTTTTTATGGATGTAACACAAATTTAGCTTTTGGGGGGCCGGCACATCTTAATTAGGGAGTTGAAATATTTTCGAATTTCTGTTTACCGGTATGTAACGCTTGTTTACCACACAGTTGTGTTTTTTTTTTTAATCTAGGGCACACCAAACTCTATAACGAGGTACAGTATGTCCAACTCTGCCCCTTAAATACCCCCCGATCCAGTACGTTTTAGTTGTCGCCTTTAAATCGTTTTATAAAAACGTGGCGCAACTGGTTTCTGACAAATTAAACGGGTGATATGTTAAGTAAATTAGTGATGATTAGAAACAAACTCTATAGACTGTTCTTCAGCCCTCAATGACCGGATTTCTCTTAATTGTACTTGGTGAAATTGATCAATAATTTACAGGTGTCTAAGATTAACTGCATTGAGGGCGCTGCAGGAGATGGAATGGAGATTTTTTCCTCTTTAAAGGGTAATGCCCGTTAAACTATTTTTTTTTTTTACCTCAGGGTTTGAGAGGCTGGTGTCAGAGTATGAAGCTCCGCCTTCGGCTCACCTTGGTTGCTGTATTTTGTGATGTATTAAAACGTTGGCTGGCTTGCCTTAGGTCGTGACATTCGGGTGGTCTCACCGAGCTTAGCTAGCACTAAAATTAAAATAACTGATGTATAAGGTAAAAAAAGACTTGTAAATGCGTGACCGTAGGGCTACAATTTAGAACAGCACGCTGATATTGTCATACCGTCGATAGAGATACCGAATGTATTTTAATTGATAGAATTGCACTACGTTTACCAAGTGCTGTATATTTCCATTGCAGACTGTACAGTATTTACTTGTCTGACCAAGTTCATCTGACAAACGAACTGATTGCACAATGTAAACATTTTCATTTTATATACCAGTCGTATATAAAATGAAGCACGTTAATCTGACATCATCTAATTGTGTGCGTGAGAACTACCGAAAGCATAGTTCCTTTTGAAATTGAGCTTTCTGGGGAACGAGGAGGGTAAAACACATTAATGTCCTCAAAAAGTATCGACGGATGTGGTACTACTAGAGTTTACATTTTCTGATGACATGCGATCATGAGACCAAGAATGCATTAAATATTTGTTTGAAAATGTTCAGTAAATACTTCCTTCTCCAGTTTATTTAAATTTCCTCCCATAGGCCGACTGGCTGAGACTGCCTCAATCTGCCTTTTGCAAGCAGTTCAGCAATGAATGCGGACAGAAAAGCAACCTCCTTTGAGATGAGCCCTGGTTAAGGGCGTTGTTAGATCCGCAAACTACCACATTAGCTTGTTGACTTTTTGCATAGCAAGATTCAGGTTTGTTTTAAATATCCGTTAAAGAGTATTACAGATGATTCAAATGTTTGGCTCCAATTATAATTCTAGCATTGCTTGATTTAAATATCTATACAAATGCAAACTGCATTTTATTGGTGAGTGTTGAACAAAACCCCCAGGATATCTTGGATGCAAATGTATGTCTGATTTTGAGATAACTTTTTTTTTTGCAGGGAGGCACTTATTTCTTACACGACAGCATCTTTCATTCCGAATACATAAGAACACTCAAGAGGCGTAGTGATACAGTTTTCGGATCGGAACAATGGTCCAGGGTGAAGTGTTTTTGTACACCTGCAACATTCACGCCACTCCCTTCAGATCCCTGTGAATCCTGACTGCTCCGCCTCTCCGCAACAGGCTGCCAGTCTGATCCGAAAGTGTAGTTCTCGGCGTTGGAAGGAAACTTGCACTATTAAAACGGGGAGTAGGACAGAGCTCTGTGGCAGTGGGGTCCACGGGGCTTATTTCTGGGATTTTTATAATAGAATATCTTCGCCTTGCGTCTTAGCAGCATTACAAGGATTCGCCGGGTCGGGTCAGCTAAAAAGGTAAATAGACACTGGTCCCAATTCGGGATTCCTTAATCGATTGCGGATTAAATTGATTTTTTTTTCATGGGTTCTGTTATAGTTTTTGCCGGTTTTTTTGTGCGATTTGAATTGGACGTCCTGAATTTAGTCGCCTAAAGAGCGACTAAGTGGAAATAAATATCAATTGAATAAACTGCTTTCACTACAAAATATATTTTCTGTCTACTGCCGTACTCAGGTTATTGAAAGAAAACAGCAAATATACAGTATAAAACATGTTTTTGCAGTAGGTTATTTGTGTTTTTGGCCCTAAGACAGCGCAAGGTGATAAGTCACCTGATGCCTAGGTTGACTCGTGTAGTACTACAATGCGTTACGACAGTTCAGTGACAGATTTGCTTAGTTTTTACCACACTGAAACGTGGATTAAGAATCGTAACTTTGGGATATTTTGTTTAGAAATGCACTGCTTAATTTATTTATTTGAATTATTATTATTATTACGTTTTATATTTATATTATATTATTGAGTTGCTAAATGGAGGATACGAATTATAGTTTAGCTTCGGGTTAGCAACCTTGCCTATCGTACTGTACTAATTTTTGAACTTGGTGGCAGTAGCCAAAGGCACACATCAATGTATATATTGTATATCGTTAAATATAACACACACCTGTAGAAGGCTCCACGGCCGAAACGTTGTGTTCTCTTTCTTCTTTTTTTTCAGCATGGAATAAACCTATTACTTGTTCCTCTATAACACAAGTGGCTGTAAAACTGAAAAGTTAATACAAATGTTAGTTTTAAAACGTCTTAATGTACAGTTAAAGCATTATGGACGTGAATGTGAACGATTTGGTTTTCTTTTAGGGATGTACTAATTTTTGAACTTGAATGTACTGTATGAACTATTGTAAAAAAAAAAAAGTTCAGGTTTCTGAATCATAGTGGCAGCAACACTTGTTAAGTACTGTCAGCCCCCGAAAATGTCAGTGTGCTTTGCATGTCTTTCGCAGAGGACGTTTGAATCCAAACTGCTTGTGCGTTTGTGCTCATGCATCATGGAAAAAAAAAAAACTTTTCTTCGCTAAGTGTGTTCCTTCGACCTGTGAACTGCGCTGACGTACATATCTTTGCACCTTCTACCATGATAAAGTGTTAGCCATTTTAAAAATGAAAAATAATTTACTAGTTTGCCTTTTTAACGTCAGTGTTTCTATTTCTATTAATAACTAACACTAGGCTGCGTTTAATATCCTGTACTGTATTTGAGCATTCGGAAGTCATCTTAATCCGTTGTATTTTTAAGTGCCTGTTGTGAGGGAGGCAGTATAGAAAAGTGGATTCACACATTGATTGATGCACTAAACTTAGTGCAACACTTAGTTAAACCAATGCTTCCTTTACATATTTTCATGCCTGCTTTCAAAGTCATGTATTTACTGTACATGAGCAAACCAAGCCTGTTTTTTTACATTTTTTCGAGATGCATGGATTAAGTGAAGCATTTCTAATTTTGCACTTTTCTTGTCCTAGTAACCTAGACAGAATAGTCAGATTCCATGTTTTCTCCTCTGGCATTGCTTTCCTGTAGTCACTGCAGTGTTAAGAAACTACCAAGGTCTTATTAAGTAGATATTTCTTTTGAACACACTGTATGTAGTTGTTGAAACGAAGGCATTGTTCTACAATATTTTAAGTTTGTATGTTTGCAGCAGCTCTAAAAATGTTTGTTTTGTGGATATACTGTATTGTGTGTTATCTTCAGTCAAGTGTTGCTAAATACACAATTTAAATCCTTTAAATCCCTAAGGCATATACTGTATGGTTAGGGTGAGAAATAATGATTGTAATGAAAGAAAAAAAATACACAGCACATCTTGGAATAAGTATTCTTGTCCACACCATGAGGAAAAAAAAAACTGCTTTGGGTACTGCATCGTAAATTTAGAAAACAGGTAAATAAGAAATTCTAGTTTTACTTGTTAGGGAGGTTTCTTCTTGAGTTGCCTCATGTGAGCTGTTTATTGTGTTATGCCACCAACAAAGACAGCCTGCCTTTTGGGAGCGCTGGCTGGAAAGAATACCTAGATGGACACACATGTGTAGATTGGTTTGTAAGACACACTAGGGAATGATTTAGGATGGGGTACAGTACTTATTAAATACACAGTGTTTGCCCTTCAAGACCCAGTTCTTTATTTATTCTTGTGTTAATGGAAGACTGAGGAGGCAGGCATCTGTGTTGTCATAAATTTTAGATTCCTAAAGAAATGTGTATTAGCAAAGATGCTTATCCTGGTTTTATGATAAATGTTTGACTAGTAAAACAGCGACTTGGCTAACTGAAGGATATTGAATGGATAAAAACTACATGCTTACCAATTTGTTTGAATATCAAAACAATATGATGTTCACAGATACAATTTGTGACGATATAAAGCTGCATCCTAGGTGCTGATGGTTTTCTTAAGGCACAACACAACTGCTTCAGAACTGTACACCGTTTCTACAGGATCATATACTGTATACTGTATTTGCACTGAGAGTGAGGGTGTATTTGTTCGAGTTAAACAAGTCAAACGTTAATTCTAATTGCTGCGAGATGTGGCTAATATCTATTTTAAAAAATGGAAGCTAGATTTTTAAATTATTTTTCATTAGGTGTTCAAGTGTAACTAGGTCTTTGGCTGCAAGTAGAGAAGTATTATGTTCACGAATATAGAAAATCAAACTTACTTTTTAACTTGCCAATTGTCACTGGATCAGCAGTTCTAGAACAAGTAATCAACTTTGGTTCGTTTTGTTTCTTCTGTGACCTCTTCAGGCTTTGATAAATACTGTTACAGCTGCAATGTTGCAGCTGTTTCAGGTCTCTGGGTGTCTGTTGGAATTCTTTCAGGTGTTCATTTATCAAACTTAGATTGCAAATTGTAACAAATTAATGATCATTGCAATTAAGCTTGTTTATACTTTTGATATTTTTGTAAATGCTGCCTACTACTGCTGATTGATTAGATGATGTTTGAGAAGTGGTATTTAATGTATTAAATACCGAAGACCAGAAAATTCTATCAAGCCAAGCTTCAAAAAAGGCATTATTATTAACAGTATTTTAGGAAATAGTTTTTTGCTAACAGTATATTCTTACAAAGGTCAAATAAAGCTCCATTACAGTATATGTCCTAACCAGAAAAAAAAACAGCATAATGAGAGAGACAGTATGATTACACAAGTATTAAATGTCAGAAAAGTATTATGCCTTCAATGATGCTGTAATCTTTATTTTAAAAATGAACTTGGATTACATTTTAATATATATATATTTTTCTCCTTCAAAAGGGTTTGTACTTTGATCAGGATTTCAGGAATCAAGTGGGAAATAATAAGCACTGCATAAACACACAAGCCATTTGCAGATTAATTCAAAACGATGTTTAATTATTTGTCTAAAATTAGAATTCTTATCTTTATAGAAGTTCACTTTTTGGTATCTAAATGTCATTACCATTTTGTATTATTTTGTCATTTGTTAGCCTATTAACAGAATTGTTAGTATTTTTCATTTCATAAAGTATTCCAATCGGTAGTTAGTTTTCCAGTTTGAATGAATATAAACTAGATATGCAAATGTTATAATTATTTATGTATATTTTGTTATAAGTTTGTGATCTTAAATTTCAGAGTCAATAGGTATCTAAACTAATATAGGCCCAATCTTATGTTCTGGAAAAAGCTGTTTATTTTGTTATAGTTTGTTTTAATGTACAGAAGTATTTTACTCTTTTGTTCCCCCCCAACACTTCAGTTTACAGAGGTTTTCCTTCCTTTTTCATTATTACCCCAGATTTGGAACTATCTTTTCTCCCAGTTGCAGCTTATATGTGTGGGGCGATGATAAAAGAAGATGATTGAACATCATAATGAAGTGGATCTTTTACAGTCTCTACATACTGGAGATCCTTCAGACCCATCAAGACTTCTTCAGAAGAACCTTCTTCTGAATGATTATTTATAAGCACAAGAATCAGTTTGACTTGTGGATTTGTCCAGCTAAGTGTTACAGTTTAGAGAATCCTTCTAAATTCATGGCTGATCTGGCACATCCTGCACTTTTCTTTTCTGTGTGATTCAATGAATGATATGTTGGAATTATTTAATTGAAGTCCGTTATGGTCTTTTCTATTTCTGTAATCTATGTTTGCATTTCATTTGCTTATCATTGTTTTTAAATCTAAACATTCTTAGCAACATAGAGGGTAATCCAACATAAATGGGTTAAACTCTTTCCCAGGGTTGTACTGTTAATGGTTTGCTTGAAGAGGACCCTGGTTCACTGAGGAGATGAACACAAAATCATCAGAAAGGCCTAAAAATGAGAGGAGACTAGCCTCTTGTTTATGCATAGTCCCATACACTATAAAGGAAGCATTCACCCATCTGTAAAAGTCTCCTTTCCCCGAAAGGAGATAGAAAGAAGAAATACAATGTTTTGTTGAGCTGACTTCAGGTTTGAGGAAAACTTGGTACACACACATGGAAGGCTCAACAGCTGAAATGCTGTGAGCTGTATTTCTTCTTCCTACTTTTCTGTGTGGAATTAACCTTTACGTATTCCCTGTGTAGCCCATGCATGGTGATGCAGCTTCCCATGTGAACTAATTTTATGATAGTCGATCAACACTAACATAAATGACTTTGGTGCGCATGGGCAGGTTCTCCTGCCTAGAATAGAAGCTTGAACCCTGGTGCTGTGAGGTACAGTAGCAGGGCTAATTGCCAGGCCACTGTGCTGCTGATAATCCAGTATTGTGTGTGGGAGCTGAGACCTGATAATTATTACAAATCCTCTATGAGAGCTCTAATACATAAGATTCTCTCTACAGGAGTCTTCTTGAATTAAACAGTTTGCCCTGGTTCTGAAAATCACTATAGATGAAGTTACTTGTCATGGTTTAACATAACCTCCCACATTTCTTTGTTGGTACTTGAATATGTGTGGTATTAAAGTATGAGCTGCAATGTTTTATTTGTAATTAATTTTATCTTTGCAAATAGAACAAAATTAACATTTTAGTGGCACAATCCATTTACCGGGATTTGAATCAAAATGGCTTAAAATGCTTTTAAGAAAATATTATTTGCAGTAGTTTATTCCTTCCTTGTGTCTCTCATTTGCTGCTTTGATGTGTGCTTTGCTATATATCAAAGCTCCATCAGGTTTCACTGGCTGTCTAAAGATAGAAGTATTTATTTAACCGCATGCTTGTCATACTCCAAAAACCCATCAGGAAAAGCGTTTATACATTTTGCTTTGCTAACTTATGAAATTAGACATCTCTGACTTCGGGGACAATTTAATTGTCATGGTAAAGTAACCCCACCCCAAAAAATATGGTGTGTTGATGATGAGGTCATATCATACACTTTAATTCTCTATGTTCATTTCAGAGTTCTGATGGAATAATGCTTTGATAGTTGGTACTGTTGGATCCAATCTATAATCTGTAAACCTTTATATATTAAAGATAGTTTTACTTGCTTCCTCATAGTGACATTGATTCTTCAGATCACTTTCATGAATAAAGCCTAATGTAACCATAGCTAAGCTCCTGGAGAGTTGTGACAATAGAGCTCTAAAAGACAGGGCCGTACTTGAAATCTTAAACCTTGAGCCTTTTGCTCTCCACTCTTTCAAATGACAGCTTACAGAGTAAAATGTTTTGTGTCTTTGATAATGTAATTTATCCTTAGAGTGTTTCTTTTTTGAAAGGCTAGAATAAATTGTTTGCTTTCTTCAAATAGAAAGTTCACTGTCTTCCAGCTAAGAACAGCGACTGACAGGATAAGATGTGTTAAAGGCCTTCTCTCGTGTAACGTTTTTTCACTATTTTCTAAGCAGAGAGCGGAATAAATTCTGGAAATACATTAAAGTAGACAAGACAACATTTTGCCAATGTGTATGGGATTCTGCCAACACATTGTTTCAAAAGACTCAAATATGGTTAGAGAAAAAAATTGCTTCACCACATTAATACTTGTAGGGAAATCAGCACAATTTTCAAGATGTTTAAGTCTCAATATTTTAAGTTTAGTTTAGATGGCAAAGGCAAACTTGTTTACTTTGAGAGTATTTTCGTTGGCTTTAACAACTGTAGGAAATGAGTTTTGACAGATAATCCTAATGGAATTTAATTTTTGAAGAGTTGCTTATGTACTGTACAGTATGTATAGGTTTGCAAATGGCCAACTGCTATAGGCTAGGAATTAAATGTAAAAAATCTCCTTTTATAATAGTCTCCCATACTTTCAAACCCACACATGGATCCTCTATCCTATGCTGTAGAACATAAAGAAACAATTATGTTACTTTTACCTTTCTCCAGGAAATAATAAGACCTGATGGGAATTAGTGAATGTAGAATACAACAACTACTGTAGGTACCAGCTTGTTTAAAAAACTGGATCAGTCAGATTGCAGTTTTTGGGGTGGTTCACTGGTATTTGTTTAGTGCTTGCAATATATTTGCCCTTCTTTGCTATTAACAGCTTGTTTTCCCAAATTGTTTTAATTATATTTTTTTCAGTTGAAATAACTCATCTACGCCAATAGTGGGTATTAAGTATAATTAAAAAATACAAAGAGAATCTTGGAAGAATCTTGAAACTTGAACGTTAGCTCTAATCCTGTGTTCATTAAACATTTATCCCATAATGAGGTAAAGGTTGTTGTGCAAGCTGGCATTCGTACTGGTTTTGTGACAGCAGAGGCTGTGCACAAGGTAGCTTTTGTAGTTATCCATGAACAAACCTTGAGAGCAAAATTAAAATCCAGAAAAACTGTAAAACTCCTAAATGTAATGTTAGTCTCCTTTTTCAGTCAGATAAAATGTCACTGACAGTCGAATCATTGCATTCTGGATGGACTTCCTTGATTATAAATTATTAAAACCAATTTTGTGTCTCTGCATATACAGTGTAATGTGAGTGATAAACTGATTTGTTTACTAAACACGAAGGGGCGGACTTTTGTTTACCATTAAAACAAAAGTTTCAAAACATTGTAACATTCAAGATACTGTCAATTAAGCCTCAGGGACAGTTAATAATAACAGTCCCGGTCCCTTGTATTTGTAAAGCATCTTTTCATTTTAAAGAATCTTGAAGTCCTTCAAATATATAAGAAGGTATTTGGGTATTTTCAAGGGTACAAACTTAGAAACGCTTGCCTGCAGGAAGGAATGAAAACTAGTGCCCAACCAACGCCTTGTATATTATCAACCTTGTTTTCCTGAGAGGTGTCCTATCCCTGCAATGACTAGGTCCAACTTTCCTTAGCTTTTGAGATCTGGCAAGATGAGGCTAGACAGTGGCACTGCCATTTGAATAAAAGGAGATGCAATTTATATTGAATTGATTGCAACAGACATTCTTAGAGAATTGTTATAAACATAACCAGTATGAAGTGAAGAGAATAATTTCTTACTCTTGTCTTCGTTTTCAATCTACAGCCATGAAGTTATATCCTGCCATTGCCGCCTTACTGTGGTGCATTGCTGCTGGCCTGACATGGGCTGCCAAAATCGTGATTGTGCCTCCTATCATGTTTGAGAGCCACCTCTACATCTTCAAGACTCTAGCTGCTGCATTGCACCAAGAAGGGCATGACACTGTCTTCTTGGTGTCAGAGGGCCGAGACGTGCCCCCATCTGAACACTACCGCCTTCAACGCTACCCTGGCATCTTTAACAGCACTTCAGCAGATAACTTTCTGCAGTCCAAGATGAAAAACATCTTCTCTGGACGCTTGACTGCGCTAGAGCTCTTTGACATTTTGGAACACTACTCCCAGAACTGTGACGCCATAGTAGGCAGCAAGGCCGTGATGTCTCGTCTCAAGGAAGAAAAGTTTGACCTGCTGTTGGTTGACCCCAATGAAATGTGTGGGTTTGTTATTGCTCATTTCCTAGGAGTGAGGTATGCAGTTTTTAGTACTGGTCTCTGGTATCCTGCTGAAGTAGGGGCACCGGCTCCTTTAGCATATGTCCCCGAGTTCAACTCCCTTCTAACAGACAAGATGAACCTATTCCAAAGGATTACAAACACTGCTGTCTACCTGGTATCCCGCTTTGGGGTGCAGTTCCTGGTGCTACCTAAGTATGACAGGATAATGAAAAAGCATAATATACAGCCTGAAGTCTCTATGCATGACCTGGTGCATGGGAGCCGGTTGTGGATGCTTTGCACTGATATGGCTCTGGAGTTTCCCCGTCCTACTCTACCTCATGTGGTGTATGTTGGTGGCATCCTCACTAAACCTCCAAGCCCTCTCCCAGAGGTAAGGTTTGATTTTTTTTCTTTGTTATTCTGGTTCTGTATTCTGATGATATCACAACCGAGATGAGGAGAAGAGAGTTTTTTCTTTAGATGCATTCCTACATTATCCATTACAGGGCCACGGGGGAGCTGGAGCCTATCCTGGCAAGCAGCAGACACACGTGGGGATACTCCCTGGATGGGATGCCAGTCCATCGCAGGGCACACAGAGAGCAAACATGCGCACACATTCACACCAGGGCCAATTTTCCCAAAAGCCAGTTAACCTTACGGGTATGTCTTTTCGACTGTGAGAGGAAACCGAAGCACCTGGAGGAAACCCACACAGACACAGGGTGAACATACAAACTCCAAGCAGATAGCGCCCTAGGAGTTGAACCCAGGGTCCCAACCCCAAGAGGCAGCAGTGCCAACCACTGTGTCACCGTACCACCCCTTCACAAGCATTCATAATAAAAAGCTTGTTTTTTTAAGTTTTATGGGTTATAATGGGTGGTAATAATGGGGAAACCGTGACCTATATCCCAGGAAACTATTTTTTCATAAACATTTGCTGTGAAGCAACTTTACCAAAGTTGCTGTCAGTCTTCAGCATTTTATAAACCATCATTTAACTGACATAAATTAGCAGTTTTATTAGTGACACAGTGAGGCTCAATGAGAATTGTACTTTTAATTCATTTGATCTCTGGAATCAAATGAGTAAATGCGTATGTGTCAATTTGTCCAACTACGTGTGCATCCTGCTGTGCTGTCCAATTTCTGAAGTAATTATTTTGAAACAAAAAATAATGCCTGATCACTATTTTGAACAGATCTTCAGAAGCTGCAATATCCTGTGTGTTTGCGCAGCAATACTACAGTGGAACATACGAACAAAATATCAATTTTATGCGATTCAAAATATCAACCACAGGGGAAACCAAAATGGGCTGTATAAATGACATGACCTAGAATCACATTTGGTAAGTGAGTTGGTTAAGCAAAAATGTAAAGTTACTCCTTACATTTAAACTCCCAATTTGGAAAACTGATCATTGGTGGGATTTGTTTTTAGATTAGTTGTATGTTTTAATTTTCATGACAGTGCAACACCATTAATTGCAGTGTAGTTGCACAATTCCAGTGTATTTGGCTTTGGTGTGAGATGGTACAGGAGCACTTTGGTGAGTTGCTTTGAGAGAGACTATTTACAGGTTTTGAATTTTTGATGTTGTCTTGCAATTCTCATGAACATTCACATGCAAGTGTTATTATCATCCCTAATTGGTCTGCAACAAAAACACAAACCACTCCGTCAAAAAATATGATGTATTTGCTACTTTAAGGACTTTTTTCAAAGAAGAAAAATGTTCTGTATATTTTCATCTTGGTCCTTGTACCTTGTATCAAGTGCTGACTTGATTGTAAAAAATGCACTAATGAAAAAATACAGGAACAGGTCAGATAAAAACAGTTTTCTGTCTGTCGTGTCCAAGTTATATGAAAGTGTTTGTTTAAGTCAATAGATAAATGTAATAAAGGCAAAACGTTTTCTTAAATTGTGACTGTTTTAGAAAAAGGTAAAAATGTTTGGATTTTGCTTTAAAACCTTACATTGTCACAGAGGTTACTGTAATCAGTTCAGATGACCACACAGCACCGTGGTTAATACAAGTGGGTTATTAGAAATGCAGGCAGTATTCACTATGCAGATTTGGATGCCAAAGCCCCAATAAAGTATTGTAAAATCTCTAGACATTATGCAGTTTCCTGTTAAATGTGATCATTGTTTACTTTGTTTAACAGACACAAGGCTTAGTGTCCCCTGCTACTTGTCAGTGCCAGCCATCCCTTAGCTTTACTGATGCAGCTGTATATTCAGCAACATTTACTAAAATGAGGCATTTTGTTAGGCAGTGAAGTTATACAAGCTTTGAAGGGCTTCCATACAGCATAGGCGGACAGTGCTAAGTGTTGTTTTATGGGTTTAGCTTTCTGTTTAACAAAATAGGGGAGAGATTTGTGGAAATCGTAAACAAAAAGACTTATAAAACAGCCATTAAGGAATGTCATCCAAACAATGTAGTCAATATAAGTTCTACTGTGCAAAATTCTTTTATGGACAGTATATACTGTGGAAGGACACTATGCATTGTTATACTCTTTTCACTCAATGTTGTTCCTTCTTTATGCAGCAGTACAGTTCTGTGGCAGTTATCTACTATAATTTCACTGATTTAGTTTCCAGTTAATAGTTAATCCTGGTAGATTTGTACAATAGGTAATTGTATACTGTGTATACTTTTAGATTTGTGGATATGTAGAGAGGAATTAATGTTCATTATGAGGAACTCCTCACAATATGTCTGTTAAGAGATTGTACACAGACTGTGTGATAAGCTACTGCAGTACTTTATTTTGGCTGTTCAAGTAGAGTTTTCCTTTAGCTGTGTTCATGATTTTGAGAAACCTGACCAATGAGAATTAAAAGATGGGTATGTTTATTGTAGTCTGGGTTTACAATGACCACATAAGTAATTATAAGAAAAATATAAATGATCTACATTTAACAATCATAGAACAAAAGCCTTTTTCAATAACAAATTAGTTCAATATATTGTGTGAACAAAGTCATACCCCCACATCTGTTAAAATGCAATAAAACACTTGCACAAAAGTAATATCCAGTAGCAGACTCTAGTAGGTGGTACATAAATAGCATGTTTTTCCTGTTGAGTTCCTCTTGAGCCAACAGGATACAATTTCTCAGGTAATCCAATCAGCAGATAAAACCTTTAAAGAAAGCTTATTGAAAAACATTTTCTTCATTTCTACAATGTACCTGTTACACAACCTATTACCATGCTTGGACAGGAACATACAAGATATTTTATTATACACATGTAGGATTCAAATCTTAAATGAAAATGCTGCCATATTATATTAAGTTAAAATCTATTCTATACTATAAAAAGAAAAAAAAAACTTATGTATAATAAATGTGCAATTATTAACATAAATTTCCAGTACACATTATAGCATACGTAGATGTACAGCATATTGTCTGTTTGGTTTTTATTATGGCCCATCTCCAACTCCTGAGATTTAATCTTTATTCTGAATTTTATTTCTATTTTGTATTAAATTGCATGTAAAATGTTTTTGGGTGGAAAAGAAATGGTCTTCAAATCCTTTTGTACTGACTCAGACGTATTAACACTCCTATTAATAAGCCATTCTGAAGAAGATGTGTCATCCAAAACTTTGTTCTGATTTATTACTGCACGTGACAGGTGTGTTATCATTCTGTTTTCCTGTTCCTTTATCTAAACTGGTTTTATCTACAGTTCCATCAAACATTTGGCTTGGTTACTTCTTATTTTTTTAGGCTTGAGTGTTTAACTGTAGTTTTTGGTAAATTGATGGTTACAGTGGTATTGTGTTTCTTACTATTTGCACACTGTTTTGCAAAATCTTCACCAGTTTCTACTGCACATTGTAGTTGTAGTCAACTACATTTTATGTATAGTAAAATGATAAAGTATTCAGACCCTTGCACAGCTTTCACAATGTGTTGCCTTCAGATTCAGTCATACTTTGAAGTAGCATTTTATATTTTCTGTGCACAATACAACATTTAAAGCAAAAACAAAAAATGAATGAAATACAGTAGATAATTAATATGAAGAAACATTGTAAAGGCATGATTATGTATGCATTCTGCCCTTTTTCCATTTGAAACATAAATTTTATTTGGTTGCAAAAAAGTGCCTTAATGAACCACACAATTAGCTGAGTGGCCTCTGTGTACAATAATAGTGGCTCCGATGATGTCAGAATAAAAATCTGTTTCTTTGAGGTCCTTGGTCACCTAGTGAATTTCAAGAATTTCAAGACTCCACCTTGAAGACTATCTTTCATAACAAGTCAATAAGTTTATTGAAAAACCTCAGATCAGGAGAAGGTTACAAAAACATCAATGACTCGTAGTTCCGTGTGAGCACAGTCTGCTCAATTATTAATTAAGGAATGGTGCGTTGTACCACCCAGATAATGCTTGGATCAGGCTATCCCTTCAAACTGAGCAGCCGAGCAAGAAGGAAGCTGGTGAGGGATGTCACTGTGAGATGCTTACAATGAAAAAAACTACAGAGCTCAGTGGCTGAGCAGGGGAAAAATGGGCGTCAGTCAACAATATCCAGAACACTTCACAAACCTAGCTGGTAATAATAATAATAATAATAATAATAATAATAATAATAATAATAAAAACTTTATTTTATATAGCACCTTTAAAGGTGTCTTCTTAAAGCGCTTTACAGAATGACAACAACAATAAATACAAAATACACAAGATAAAACACAATAACAAAACACACGAGGAGACCGTGGATTGTGGTACTAAGTGTAGTAGGAGCAGAGGGGTAAAGAATGGAACCAGCTGAATAAAGGCTCTTCTAAAGAAGAAGGTTTGGAGTCTGGATTTGAAGGAGTTTAGAGAAGGTGACTCTCTGATATCCTTGGGGAGAGAGTTCCAGAGCTTAGGGGCATTACAGGAGAAAACTAAGGCAGGATGGCAAGAAGGATGCCATTACTTAAAACAACCGAAAAAACAAGAAGTTCAAGGGGTACTGCAAACATGGGCAAAGTTTATGTGATCAGATGAAACAGAAGTGGAATGTTTTTGTCTAAATGCAAAGCATTGCGTCTGATGAAAGTCTAAACCAGTGCATCACTTAGCCAGCACCATTCCTACTGTCAAGTATGTTAATGGAAACATTATGTTATGAGGCAACTTCTGTTCAGCAGGTACTGGAAAACTTTTTGAGTTTCAGAGGAAAATAGATGGAACAAAGTACAAGCAAATCTTGTGGTATGAAACAAGAAAGTGGTATGAAATTCACCTGTCAACAGGACAGTCACCCAAAGCACAGGGACAAAGCTACACTGGAGTGGCTTAAGAAGAAGCAAGTAAATGCTCTTGAGCAGTCAAGTCCTTTGCTGTTTTGGGATTTTTTT